GCCGCTTCACCCTGAAGATCCACATGCCATCAACTACGTTCGCCCCAGGGGGGGGGGACCTCGTCGACGTAGGTGCCTGTGAATCTGTAGGAGGCAATCTTTGAGTCCATGGCAGCTCTCCACTGAGAGGCCCAAGGCCCTGACACTGCCTCAGCATAAGTGCGAGGAGTTAGTATGTCAAGGGCGTCGGGGTCTCCCTCTGGAGCGAGCAGCATGGCACAGAGATGAGGGGAAGCTGCTGCCAGGAACTCTAGCTCAAACTGCATGTCCTCTAGGGCGTCACAGCCAAGGGCAGACTTACCCCCGGGATGTACTTCAGCGGAAACTTCCCGCGCTTCACCATGTGCTGCAGCCAGGCTTGTCGCCGCTCCATGTGCTTGAGTTTGCCCATCAACCCCATGCCCTCGGCAACGGTGATGGCTGACTTGTTGTCCACACGAAGGACCATCGGCGTCCCAGCGCCCAGCTACCAGAACTCTGCAAGAAGGAAGCGAAGGCGGCATCCCTCCTTGCTAGCTTTAGTGGCCGCCACATACTCCGACTCGGTCGACGACAGCGTCGCGCACTTGATGCACTGGCTCGACCAGGAGACCGCGGCCCCTCCGTAGAAGAACACGTAGCCACCCATGCTCATCCTGTTCTTCTTATTGCTGGCATCGTCAGCGTCCACGTAGCCGACCAGCTTCAGCGACTCTGGTCCACCGCCGAACTCCAGGGCGGTGTCGTACGTGTTGGCGAGGTAGGCGAGGCAGCGGTCGACCTTGCGCCAGTGCTGGTCGCTCCTTACCGTGAGGCCGCTTCTCAGTTTGCTACAGGCGAAGGCAATGTCCGGCCTTGTCGTTGTCGCTGCGAACTGCAGCTAGCCGACCTTCTGCCGGTACTCCTCCTCCTGGCGCTCCAGAGCCTCCTTCTCGTCGAAGGTCTGCTCAGCGTAGGCACCGATCGAGACTGGCGTCTTCGGGGTACGCCTGGTCTCCTCCTCTTTGAGGAACCGCCTACACAGCTTGTCGGCGTAGCCCTGCTGGTGCAACCACAGCTTCCTTGCCGGCCTGTCGCGCACGAACTTCAGCCCGAGGTACTTCTGCACCGGCGAGATCTCGCGCAGCTCAAAGGCGGCCTCCAGCAGCTCCTTCAAAATTCTCGGCACTACTGCTGGCGGCAAGCAAGTCGTCGACGGACCAGTACCCAGCAGGCCACCTTGATGTTGACAACCTTGAAGTAGAGCGCCGGGTCGACCTGGCTCTTCTTCCAGCCGGTGCCAACCAGCACGTCGTTGAGAGCCTTGTACCACAACAGCAGCGACTGCTTCAGCCCGTAGAGGCTCTTCAGCAGCTTGCACACCCGGCCGGTACCGTCGTTGAAGTGGTCCAGGTGGTACATGTACAGCACCCGGTCAAGCTTGCTATGCAAGAAGGCATTCTTCATGTCGAGCTGCATCAGGTTGAGGTTGAGGATGGCGACGATGCTGAGGAAGATCGTCAGCGTGACGTAGTTGCTCACCTGCGCGTACGTATCGTCGTAGTCGGCGCCATATACTTGCGTGAAGCCCTTGAAGATCAGCCTTGCCTTCTCGCGCTCGACGGTGTCGTCGATGTGGCAGTTCGTCATCAACACCCACCGGTTCTTCATGATGTTCACCCCAGGTGGGAGTTCGACCAGCTCCCGAGTGCCCATGTTGATGAGGCTGCGGATCTCCTTCTCCATGGCGGCCTTCACCGCCTTGGCCTTCTAGCTCGCCAACACCTCCTCCACCTCCTTCATCATGCAGATGTCCCAGCGGTGCTCAGGGTCGACGTGCATGTCGGGGTCGAGCTCCGGCAGCTCTTCATCCTCCTCGGCGTCGTCGTACAATATGTTGTCGTCGACCTCGTCATACAACGTGGTGAAGGCAGCCGGTACATACAAGTCGGGCGGCCTCCAAATTCGGCATGACTGCTATGGTCCACACTGGACCTCCACCACGTCAATGTCGGTGGCCTCATCGTCCTGCTGCACCTCGGTCGGCTTCCTTGCCGACTTCTCTCATGTGGTCGGCTCCCCTGCCGAATGTCCAGTCGCCGACTGCTCCTTGGTCGGCGTCCCTGCTACCTGCTCCCCTGTCGGCTGATGCCCTGCTGGTGCCTTCTTCGCCGGCTTCACCAAAGTCGGTTGTATCTCCTCGGCCGGCTCCTCCCCTATCAACGTCGACTTCACTCCCACGTCGACTTGCTTCTTGTCACGTTGGCCGCCGGCGATGCTCTTGGCCAGCGCCGAAGGTGACGTCCCACTTCTCCCCTCACCGCCGTAGGCCGACACCGGAGTCAGCCTACGCAGGCCGGCCACAAGGGGAGGGGCAAGGAAGAGGGAGGGCGAGGGGACATCCTCAGCATCCTCAGCAGCAGGCTCACTAACCATGGTGAGCAGAGGAAGTGTCGCTGTCGAGGTGTCAGACGGCGGGTTGGCCTGCGTCCGTCCCGACGTTGGCCCGTGCGCCGACTTCCACACTTCCAACGACATGGTCTCGTAGAACACCACGTCGGACGTGGTGACCACCCAGTTGTCGGCGATGTCGCGGAGCTCCCAGCCCTTGCTCTCCTCCAACATGCCGAGGTGAAGGCCCCATATGGCCTTCGGCTTCAGCTTCCCACCACGCTGCTGCTCGGGGACCAATAACTGCGCCATGCAGCCCCACACCTGTGCCAGCGACAAGTCGGGCTTCGTCCCGGTGAGCAGCTGGTACGGCGTCGTCCCCAGTGGCAGAACCGACCACTCAAGGTAGTTGCGGATCCAGATGGCCTGACGCAGAGTGAGATGCCACCAGTGGTGCCGCACACCCATGCGCAGCAGCATCGTCCGCACCGACTCCACCACCGTCCGCAACTACCGCTCCGCCATGCCGTTTTGTTGTGGTGTGTACGGGCAGGTGAGGTCGTGGACGATGTTGTCGATTGTATTGTTTAGTCTAGATGGTGTACACCTTAGTTAGTGCTAGGGTTAGATTTGATACATCTACCCTTGTACTTGCTCATTCTAGTAATAAATTCTCATATTATAACATGGTATAGAGCTAGGTTTCCCTAGCTAGGGTTTCCCCTAGCGTTTTCACTCGATCGATTAAGGGCCCACCTAATTCGCTAGCGCGCACCTTGTTCTAACGCGCGCCTCGTCATAATGCGCACCTCGTAGGCCATCGCCCGTCGCCCAGAGTGCGCCCGTCGTCAGTACCCTCCTCGTCGCCCATAGCTTTATCGTCGCTTGTCAATTTTTCTGCTCCCGTCGCCCGTCTCCCGTTTTTCCCCTCCCGTCGCCCGTCGGCTGTCGTTTTTTCCCTTCCCGACGCCCATCGCCCGTCGAATTTTCCCCTCCTGATGCCCGTTGCCCGTCCGTTTCCTAAGCACGCCCCACCCGTGGCTTGTTGATCGACCGTAGGAACAGGCCCCGCGGCCCCCTTTTCGATAGCGGGCCCCGCTGCCCTTTCAATAGCGGGCCCCACGGCCCTTTCGATAGCGGGCCCCGTGGTCCCGTTGTTAGTCGTATGCACGCACAGCAGCAACCGCGCGCACGTGCAACTCGTCGCCCCACCCGCTACCCGCCGCCTTCACCGCTGCCCCCACCCTTTAACTACTGCCTTACCTGCTGCCCCATCCGTTAGCCGCCGCCCCACCAGTTCACCTCAGATCCACCATCTAGCCACACCATAGTCTACCACCCATACCCGCAGAACCGCACAGAGCCGCACACAACTGCACAGCACCGCATTCCACCCGTGCTAACCCCCCCTGGAGTGCCACAGTACCGCACTCCACCCGTGCTAGCTCCCCTGGATCCGCACAGAACCGCACAGAACTGCACAGAACTGCACAGAACCGCATAGATATGCACAAAACCGCACAGAACCGCACAGAATCGTACAGAACCGCATAGATCTGCATAGAACCGCACTCCACCCGTGCTAGCTCCCATGGAACCGCACACAACTGCTCAGAACTGCATTCCACACGTGCAGCATAGGCTGCCCCTAGCGCACCAGCAGTAGCTTGAGCTACCACCAGTAGTGCCAGCAGCAGCCTAGACTGCCATGTCAAACTCATATGCTGTAGTCTGTGTAGGCTGTAGTGGGGTAGACAATATGGGGTACAACACTTTTAGGTTTTCCTACTTGTACCCACCTGCTTGCTAGTTCATTCATTTCCTCATTTCTTCACATGGTATAGAGCAGGTTCCCTAGTGGGAGCGCTTCCTAGGGCCCACCACTGAAAATCGCAAATATTTTTTTTTTTTCTGACCGGAGCGCGAGTCACCCCTCCCCGAGGCGCGCCCCGTGGGCCGCCCTCTCATCTCGTTCCCTGCCCTTAGCGGCCCGTCGCGCCCTTCTAGATGCCCCTCTCACGGCCCCTCGCGCCACCCCTAGCGGCCCTGTCGCCGCCCTTCGCGGCCCCGTCGCCGCCCTTGAGGCCCCTCGCGGCCCCTTCGCGGCCCCGTCGCCGCCCCTAGCGGCCCCGTCACCGCCCTTCGCGGCCCCGTCGCCGCCCCTATCGGCCCCGTCGCTGCCTCTAGCGGCCCCGTCGCCGCCCTTCGCGGCCCTGTCGCCGCCCCTATCGGCCTTGTCGCCGCCCTTCGCGGCCCCGTTGCCGCCCCTAGCGGCCCCGTCGCCGCCCTTCACGGCCCCTCGCGGCCTCTTCTTGGCCCCGTCGCCGCCCTTCGTGGCCACGTCGCCACCCTTCCCGGCCTCTCCTCGGCTCCTCCGCCACCAGCAGCAGCCGGCGCCAGCAGCAGCCGCCGCCGCCGCCGCCAACAGCAGCCGACAACAGCGGCGGCCACCACCAGCGGCAGCCTTCGCCGCCGACAGCAGCGACTGCCGCCGCCACTGACAGCAGGAGCTGCCGCCGGTCGCGGCTTTGTCCCTGCCGACGCGCCTCGGCCCTGCCCCACCGCTTGCTGGCCCCTACCTACCAGCCCTGGTGAGAGCACTGCCGAGCCACGCCTGCTACTGCTGCCCCTAGCCTACTGCCACTGCTGTCATGGCTACCCCTAGTGTTCTAGTCTTTGATGCTGAGGGTGGGGCTGTTGACTTTGAGGTCTGGGTTGATGATCTACAGCTTTTCCTACAGTGCGATAGGAAGGACGGTCTCTCCCAGTTCGATCTCACGTCTGGCGCCTCTATTGCCCCTGCTGCCGATACTGACAGCACTGTTCGCTCACAGTGGGCCACACGCGATGTTGCTGCCCGACTTGCTGTGCGTAGTCACTTGCCATCCACTGAGCGCGCGCACTTTAGTCAGTACAAGAGTGCTAAGAACTTGTACGATGCTGTAGTTGCACGCTACTCTTCCCCTGCCACTCCTGCCCTTAGCCGCCTTATGCTGCCGTACCTGTTTCCTGACCTCGCCGCCTTTCCCACTGTCGCTGACCTCGTTACGCACTTTCGCACTAGTGACACCCGCTACCGCGCTGCGCTTCCTGCTGAGTTCTGCGCCAAGAACCCCCCCCCCCCCCCCCCCCCCATGTACATCACCCTCTACTACATAGTCACCCGGCTCCCTGACTCCCTTCGCTCGGTCAGGGACCACTTCCTCTCTGTTTGCCCCACCACACTCACTGTTGACCTCCTCGAGGAGCGCCTCCTGGCAGCTGAGAAGAGTATAGTCGCTGTAGGAGCCTCTCGTGGTGACCCTCGTGCCCTCGTCTTTGAGGGGTGCTCCCGCTCCCCCCTTTTGCCCTCTGTTGCCTTTGCTGCTGCCGTCGACTTCGTTGGCACGAAGTCGGTCGGCGCTGCGTCTGCCCCTAGCGGGCGACGCCGCACCGGCAAGGGCAAGGGGGGCAAGGGCGCTATAGGGGCTGGCGGGGGCGGTGGAGGTGGCGGTGGAGGAGGCGGAGAGAGTGGGGGTGGTGGTGGGAGTGGTGGCTTGGGTGGGGGCTTCGGTGGCGGCGGTGGAGGCGGAGGCGGCGGCGGCGGTGGCGGTGGGAGCGGAGGAGGAGGCGGTGGCGGCGGTGGCGGAGGTGGCGGCGGAGGAGGTGGAGCTAGTCGGGGTGGCTCTGCGCAGCGGGGTGGCTTCGGTGGTGGTCAGCGCCAGCAGCAGCAGCGCACTCGTGAGACCCCGCCCCCCCAGCAGCTTCGTGAGTGGTACTCTGCGCGTCAGCGGGGTGGGGGTGCTGGTCCCTGTGCATACGTCCTGCGTACCGGCGACCGCACTATTGAGCCGTGCGGTGGCCCGCACACCACCCAGCGCTGCTTCGGCCGCCTAACGGACGCTTGGCGTCTCCAGTTCGGTGGCGCCACTGAGATCCCCCGCTGGGGCGAGCTGCTTAGGTCGGGGGTTGCTATCTTGGATCTGGATTATGATGCTATTCCTGCTGCCATGTATGTTGTGTCTACTAGTGATGAGGGTGATTGTTACCTGTGTGTTCCGCCTGACCTGGGCATTGAGGCTGCTGCTCTAGATACTGGTGAGGCTGCTTCTCTAGGTGCTAGTGCGTCTGCTGCCCCAGGTGCTGGTGAGTCTGCTCTCTCAGGTACTACGTTGGCTCAGGCCTTACACACCTTCACCCTTGACTCGAGTGCTTCCTGCTCCTTCTTTCGAGACCGCACCACACTTACGCCGCTTAGTCGGCCGGTTGCAGTCTCCCTGGCGGACCCGTCTGGGGGTCCTGTCCTTGCTAGCTTCTCCACTGTCTTACCGTGCCCGGCAGCCCCCTCTGGCACCCTGTCAGGTCTGTACCTCCCCTCGTTCTCTACGAACTTGGTGAGTGGTGCTGATCTACAGGATGGGGGGGTTGACCAGTTCCCTCCTGCGAGTCAGCGGGTGACCCACTGTATGTGTGCTCGGACGGGCTGACACTTGGCCACGTTTACCCGTCTGACACTTGGCCACTGCGAGACCTCCCCCACCTTGCGGTGGACGGGGATGGTTGGCGATGCGTCTGCGTTTCGTGTTTGGGGATCTCGAGCGTTTGTCCGCGACTTGTCTACGGACAAGCTGTCCCCTCGTGCGGTTCCCTGCGTCTTCCTTGGCTTCCCCCTTGACGCGCCTGGTTGGCAGTTTCACCACCCCACCTCGCGCCGTGTTCAGTCCTCCTAGGACGTCACGTTTGACAAGTCGGTTCCTTACTACCGTCTCTTCCCCTACCGCACTGCACCCCTCCCCCCACCGCCGCTCTTCCTTGCGCTAGGTCCCCCCCCGATAGACCCCCTCCCCCCTCAGGGTCCTGCCCCGTCAGGTGTGTCCCAGGTAGACGCAGTCGAGCCTGTCGAGGTAGCTGTTGACTCTGGTAGTGCTAGGGGTGCTGAGTCTGGGGGTGCAGAGCCTGGGGATGCTGAGTCTGGGGGTGCTGGGCCTAGGGTGCGGAGCGTGGGGGTGCGGAGCCTGGGGGTGCGGAGCCTGGGGGTGCGGAGCTTGGGGGTGCGGAGCCTGGGGGTGCTGAGCCTGGGGGTGCGGAGCCTGGGGGTACAGAGCCTGGGGGTGCTGAGCCTGGGGGTGCGGAGCCTGGGGGTGCTAGGTCTGCTCGTGTGGCCTCTGGCGGTGCTAGGTTCGGGGCCCCTTCGGGTGCGTCGTCGAGGCGGGAGCTACCCTCTCCGCAGGAGCTGCGCGACTTGTTTGCCCGCCGCTGGAGCCGTGCTGCTTGAGCTGGAGGTGCTGCTGCTACTGCTGACCCTGGGGTCGGCACTGGAGTTACTGGAGCCACTGGTCCTGGAGGTGCTCGTACTGGCGGTACTGGAGCTGCTGGGCCTGGGGGTGCTGCTGAGACTGCTGGAGCTGACGGTTCTGCTGGAGCTGCCGTTGTTGGAACAGGAGCTGCTGGGGGTGTTGGCGCAGGAGGTGCTGCTGGAGCTGGTGCTTCTGAGGGTGCTGGAGTTGGCGCTGTTGGAGCTGGAGGTGCTGCTGGCGCTGGTGCTGCCGCTGGGGTTACTCGTTCTGTCCCTGCTGGTTCTGGAGGCGCTGCGCGGCCGCGGCCATACTTCGTTCCGCTCCTTGAGCGGGTTCTTTGTCTACCGCCCTCTACTGGTCCTGCTCCTCCCTTAGAGTGTCCACAGCCTGTCCAGTCGCGGTCACCTTTACAGCCCGCCTCCCCCGTACCTGCTCCTTCTCCCTACACTGGTCCTACTGGAGGTCTTGCTGAGCGTCGTGAGCCTGCGTCTCGTCCTGCGTCGCCTATTCGTGCTGCTCGCACTAGTAGTCGTGCTCCGCGTCCGCGTCCTCCTACGGTCCCAGGCACACACCAGATGGCACTGCGTCCTTCCACTGCTCCTCTACGTGTCCCGTTGCCGTCTCCTCTAGAGTCCTCTCTTCCTGTCCTTGCTGACCCGGAGTCTGACTCTCTTCATGCTGCCTGTCCTACTGTCACGGGTCTCCTGGCTACTGTTGTCACTGACCCTTCCTTTGAGTCCACTGCTGTGTCTGCCTTGGTTGCTGAGCTTGTCGACTTTGCTGCTCGCTGTCGCCTAGACTACGCTGCTAGTCTTGTTGCTGAGTCTGAGTCTGTCTGTCCTCCGTCCGTCGGGGGTGAGTGTGCTCTTAGCACGGACGTCCTTGAGGACAGGCAGGAGGAGTTCCAGTGTTTTGCTGCTGCTTTGCCTCATCTCGTGTCCACGCTGATTGCCCCTGAGGGAGACCCGGATGCACCAGACATCCCGACTCCTCGATCGTACGCTGAGGCGATCGAGGGTCCCTACTCCTTACAGTGGCAGTCAGCCATGGACGCAGAGATGGCTTCCTGGAAGTCCACAGGCACCTACGTTGACGAGGTTCCCCCACATGGGGCGAACATCGTCAGTGGCATGTGGATTTTCAGGGTGAAGCGGCCGCCGGGTTCTCCGCCTGTCTTCAAGGCGCGTTACGTGGCTCGAGGCTTCACTCAGCAACAGGGAGTTGACTACTTTCATACCTTCTCTCCCACCCCGAAGACGACCACTCTTCGGGTGCTACTGCACATAGCCGCTCAGCGCGACTACGAGCTTCACTCTCTTGACTTCAGCACAGCATTCCTGCAGGGCAGCCTGCACGAGGAGATCTGGCTGCGCCGCCAACCTGGCTTCACTGGGTCGTTTCCCCCTGGTACCCAGTGGAGCCTCCGGCGACCAGTCTACGGTCTCCGCCAGGCGCCCCGTGAGTGGCACGGCACACTGAGGACTACACTTAAGGCTCTTGGGTTTGCTCCTTCTACTGCCGACCCGTCGCTGTTTCTACGCACTGAGACCTCTTTGCCGCCGTTCTACATCCTCGTGTATGTCGACGACTTGGTCTTTGCCACTGCTGACACTGCTGGACTCGCCTACGTGAAGTCCAAGCTGTAGAAGAGACACACGTGCACAGACCTGGGTGAACTGCGCAGCTATCTTGGCTTGTAGATCATCCGGGACAGAGCACAGCGCACCATTACCCTGACTCAGTCACACATGGTGCAGCAGGTCCTTCAGCGCTTCGGCTTCACGTACTCCTCGCCTCAGGCCACTCCTCTGTCTACTCGCCACTCGCTCTTAGCTCTGCCTTCGGATGAGTCCGTAGAGCCGAGTGGCCCGTACCCAGAGCTTGTTGGCTGCCTCATGTACTTGATGACCTGCACACGACCAGACCTTGCATACCCTCTTAGCATCTTGGCACGCTATGTTGCTCCTGGGAGACACCGACCAAAGCACATGGCTGCAGCGTAGAGGGTGTTGCGCTACTTGTGCAGTACGTCAGGCATGGGGCTAGTACTTGGAGGGCAGCGTTCAGTGGTCCTCACTGGGCACGCAGACGCTTCTTGGGCTGACGACCAGGCTACGCAGCGGTCGTCACAGGGTTACACCTTCAGCCTTGGTTCCGGCTCTTTTTCGTGGCGGTCTACCCGCTCGTCTTCTGTTCTCGGCTCCAGCTGTGAGGCTGAGATCTACGCGGGGGCCATGGCTGCACAGGAGCTATGCTGGCTCACCTACCTGTTGACTGACCTAGGAGAGCAGCCTCGTTCTCCTCCAGTTCTGTACGTAGACAACAAGGCCATGCTGGCCTTGTGTCGGGAGCACAGACTGGAGCACAGAACGAAACACATTGCTCTTCGCTACTTCCTTGCTTGTGAGCTGCAGCAGTATGGTCAGCTGCGCCTTGCTTACGTGACCGTTGAGGCCAACACTGCTGATATCTTTACCAAGGCACTTCCGCCTTGTGATCATCAGCGCTTCTGTACGATGCTAGGTCTTGTGCCTACTTGGCCTCACTTGCTCACTTCTTGACCTTGCTTGTACTGTGATCTTTCTATACCTGCACTTGCCTGTTTACCTTTATATATGATCTTGCATGTGAACTCGCCTTGTGGCCTTGAACTTGTGCTCGGAATGTGTGGTGACGTTGTGATCCACCCTGAGCTTGCTTTGCTTTGCTTGACTGGTCTTGTGACCTCTTGTTCTCCCCCACTTTGCCTATGGGGGTGTGTCAAACTCAAATGCTATAGTCTGTGTAGGCTGTAGTGGGGTAGACAATATGGGGTACAACACTTTTAGGTTTTCCTACTTGTACCCACCTGCTTGCTAGTTCATTCATTTCCTCATTTATTCACATGCCACTAGTGGCACATGCAGCAGCATAGGCTGCCCCAAGCGCACCAGCGGCAGCTTAGGCTGCCACCAGTACCACTAGCAGCAAACTAGACTACCACCAGGGGCACCTGCAACAACCTCCACTACCGCCAGCGCACTAGCAGCGGTCCAGACTGCCACCAGTATCACCAGCTGCAGCATAGGCTGCCCCACCCCGACGCATCAACAGCAGCTTAGGCTACTTCCAGTCGCGCCAGCACCAGCTTAGGTAGTCCTCCCACTAGTACTACCGCCTCGATTGGCCCCTACCCTGAGCCGCAGCCACCAACTAGCGTGCCATTTTGATGTGGCGACAGTGGCCACAACATCAGTGGTGGCAGCAGCACCGGTGGCCGTAGCAACAGCAGTGGCCGTAGCGGCAGCCTTGGCCGCGGCACCAGCCGTGGCCGCAGCACATGTGTCCGCAGCAGCAGCAGTGGCCACCGCAGCAGCAGCAGCTACGGGTCAAGCAGCAGAGCCAGCAGCAGTTTCCACCATGGGGCCCTGTCGAACCTGGCCAGTACACACATTGGTACGTGGGAGCTGCAGCTGGGGTTGAGACTTGTGTTTCCAGTCTTGGTGCTTGAGTAGTTTCCAGTCTAGACGACTCAGAGGTACTTAGTGTGGGAGCTGCGGCTACCACTAGACTAGTGCCGGCCTTTGTTGCTGGCTCGAGAGCGACCTCACCGACTACACAACGTTCCTTCACCCTAGATTGAGGAGCATCTAGCTGTTTCTTTCGCGACTACACCGACCTCACGCCACTGCACAGTCCAGTCACTGTTGCTTTCGCTGACCCCTCCGTGGGATCTGTAGTTGCCCACACCACCACCGTTCTCCCGTGTTCGGCGGCTCCCTCTGGGTTTCTCATAGGTTACTACACCCCCTCGTTCTTTGGGAACTTGGAGGGTGTCAGTCACCTCCACGACCTTGGATTTGTCACTAATTTTCCTTTGGATGAGCCAGTTGCCTCCTGCACAGTCGGTGCCACTAGAGTGCCTCTGGCCACTTTCCACAAGGAGCCGGGTTCTGGTCTGTACTCACTACACACTGGGTCCCACCACACTAGGTCAAGTCAGGTCAGGTAGCTGCTGTGTCCTGCGACTGTCGGTCACTCACCCACCCGTCGGTTCTTTGGCACCACCGTCTAGGACACCCGTCGTTTCCATGTCTCAGTAGGATGGTACGTCACCGTCTGGTCTCAGGTCTCCCAGAGGCGCTTGCCCCGCTTCCTCGCTCCCCTTCGCCGTCGTGCACTCCCTGCGTCGAGGGTCGGCAGCGCACTGC